TTAGTAGTTAAAAATAATGCAAGCACTGGTATTGGCCGTGGTACTTACAGCACCAGCACTATCTACAAACAAGCTCTCCCTTCAGGTAGAGCCAACTGTTAAAAGCCACATTAGTCACTCCTGTGGACAAAGGCTCCTCATTGTGTCTGTGGTTTCTTTATAATGGTTTAACTGTGGCCTGTTTGTCAGACGTGGAATGCTGCCTGGCTGCTTCTCTTATCAAGCCTTTCTAAAATGGCTGAAAACAAGTGATCAAAACACACTTCTCTGGTTCTTTTGTCCGCTGTTCCAACCCTGGATTCATAGTGAGGAAGGCTAGGTAGGTCATGCTAGACACTACACTGATTAATGAGGAAATTTGAAAGTGAGAGTTTTGTTCAAGGCCTGAAAATCAACCAGAGAGATCATGTTGACCAATACTCTTCATCATCTTACTGCAAATATAAATGTAACATGCAGTAGTGGGAATACATTTTTCCGTGTGTGTGATCCACAACCTTTATGTTGATGACACCCAACGAAATTGAATTCCCATCAGTCTGAACCATATGTGTTTTTATCCAATGCATATTCAGCTTTTTTAAATATCTACATTGTTCTTGTGTATGTGTGTGACCTGTAGGCTGCCGAGTCCATCCAAGCAGAAGACGAAAGTGCCAAGCTATGTAAGCGTCGCATCGAGCACTTGAAGGAGCACAGCAGCGACCAGCCCGCCTCAGTCAACCTGTGGAAGAAGAAACGCATGGACCGCATGATGGTGGAGCATCTGCTGCGCTGCGGTTATTACAACACAGCTGTTAAACTGGCCAGACAGAGCGGTATAGAGGTAAATGTCTGTGTGTGATTGATCCACTTTGTCTCAAGGTCATTCAGACAAAACTAAAAGACTATTTTATTCACCGCTGTGATTAACTTTTGTTTTTGTTGTTGTTTTTTCCTTTTCTTTTCCATTAATACATCCACTCTCCTGTATTCTTAGGATCTGGTGAACATTGAGATGTTCCTCACAGCTAAGGAGGTGGAGGAGTCTCTGGAGAGGCAGGAGACGGCCACTTGCCTAGCCTGGTGCCATGACAATAAATCCCGCCTCCGCAAGATGAAGGTAGTTCGTTTACAAGAGTCAAATTTTACCTCGTTAATCAAAGAGGTTGAAGTTGAGGCCTGGCATGAAAAACAGAAAGAATGCTACATAGGTTTCAGTCGACCACAAATGCTTATTGGTTCTGCCTTTTCCATATTTCTGCTCTTTTAAAACAAGAATCAGGAGTGTAACAGACTCAGAAAACAGACCTGTTGGGATTTAATTACTCGTCCTGGGTGTTTTGCCCTTCTGTCAGTGGAGGCAAGTTACAGTGTTAATCCTTAGATGATCCTATTAAACCAGAAAGCGTTCAGTAGAGCGCCTCTGCTGAGAATATGATCATCTTCCCAGTTAGCTGTTACTTTGACAGGTAACCTTGTATTGCATACATGACCGAATATTTATATGGTTAGTCCAAGTCTGGGATGCTGGCACTAAGGAAACGTCTTTGGTTTTCAGTAGTTGTGAAATTTGGTTTGGTTTAGCTCCAGCTCAATGCCAAATGCAGGTACATTTTAGTTCCAGCTGATCTCCTCTCTACCAGGCAGATTTCAGGGTTTTTACCGTTCCAAAGATGCATTTGGATGATAAAATATTGAAAGACAACTTGAGAATCGCATTAAAGATATCTGTTTGCTTGCTCTGGAGTTTCATGAAGGGCAACAATCACTTACTTGTTTTAAACCTACTGGCATCTTTTGTCTGTTTCTTTGGCAGAGTTGTCTTGAGTTCAGTCTGAGAATCCAGGAGTTCATTGAGCTCATCAGACAAAACAAACGCATGGATGCAGTCAGGTACTGGACATAAAACCACAACACACACACACACGCGTATATCTTAAATCCCTTGCACTTACGTAGCTTTTTCCTCATTGTAACCATTATTGAAGTCACTAAAACAAACATATCACGCACTGATCTTGTTTGTATATGTCTCTGTGTACGTCAGACATGCAAGGAAGCATTTCAGCCAAGCAGAAGGTGGACAGCTGGATGAGGTTCGGCAGGTGATGGGCATGCTGGCCTTCCCATCAGATACACATATCTCCCCATACAAGGTACAATCTATGTCTGTGGTCTTTCCTAGTGTAACTATGTACATGTATGAAATCCTGTTTGTTCAGACCTATTTCACCCACAGACAACCACACACATATATATATTTGTTTTACATTTTTATTCCTCCTTTATTTTAAAGACATATTTCAAAACAATTGCAGGTATATTTCTCTAGTAGCTCAGTCTCTAGTTTTTTAAAAACACCAAAGAGGACAGCCTCACTTTAGTTTGTAAATTATTCCTCATAATAGGTGCATGAATGGCTGCCTTCCCCCATTCAGTCCTATACCTCGATATTTTTAGAATAGTCTTGAGATCTAGTTGTATTTCTGAGATGATGACTTGAGATGTTGGTTGACAGAAGTCTAGTCAAGTACAGATGGACTTTTACCTGTTGGTGCTTTATATATGAACAAAACATTAATACTGATATAACCAATATTATGGATATACTCATCTGGGTAAGTAATTCACACAAAACTTAACACAACTGGCATAAACTTATTTTATTAAAAGGAGTACACCACTAAAATAATTGCAAGTTTGGGACTTTATCAAGTAGAGACGTGTTATAGCGACAGACCAGCCACTAGAGGGCCTCTGTTGTCTTCTAATAGAATCAACTCTATTCCCTCTTGTGCTACTTTTGAACTTGTCCTTGGGTAGCTGCTTTCAGTAGCAGTGTTGTTATTTTGAATTTTCACCTACACTTAAAAATCCTCTGAGAGACTGAGCTGCAACGCGGCACCACAATGACTGCTTTATCTCAAAAAGCTTTGAGCGTTTTCTGCAACTAAAGAAGAAGGGACAAGTCAAACTAGTGCGACAACATTTTTGCCAGCTTCTTGTGCCGGTGTGACAGAAGCCAAACTAAGAAGCTCTGTCCTCTGCCAACATGTTTGTAAGGCTGTATGTGGAAACATAGGGCTTGCTCCACAGTAGCCATGCAGCAGACTTTCTCTCTGTCTAAACATTGCACCGAAGAGGCACGAGCTGCTCAGGTGGCCTATGTGAACGAGCCATTAGTAGTGAAAACATTCTGCCTACAGACTCAGCTGTGTTTAGGAAGCAGAGAGCCGTTAATCACAGTTTGCTCAAAAGAAACAAACAACACAAAGCCTTGGTATACAAATCTTGTTTAATTTAAGAGCCCAAAATCATACACTACACTGATGCTGTTGTTTCCAGAGGTTTAGTGAAACACACACTGGCAGGCCTCAATGTGTGTCACAGTTTGCTCCTGGGATTGGAACATCCTGGCTACAATATATTGACTACTTGGCTGCTGTTTGTATGGCATGTCTGGTGTGTGTGACACAACAGTATCTAACAGTGCTGGTGTGTATTGCGGTTTACAGCGCCTCAGTGAACACAATGTGGTCAAAAATGTTAGGGGAGTAAACATAGTTTGTGTCAGAATGAAAATAGCATGTTGGAGAAGGTTTGTGTGACACTGGTCTGCACCTCGCTCTGTGTGAGAAAGGACTGAGTCTGAGGTCTGTCTGGAAATGGCTTCTGGTGTTAAACTCTCTCTTCTGTCTGTCAGGATCTTTTGGATCCAGCCCGCTGGAAGATGCTGATCCAGCAATTCCGATATGACAACTACAGACTGCACCAGCTAGGAAACAACTCTGTCTTCACTATCACCCTTCAGGCTGGCCTGTCTGCCATCAAGACACCGTATCCTGCCATACCTTATTCCCAATAAGAAGTTGCTTCTGCAGTTTAGAGTTCATCTCCTTAGCGTTTTAAAGATGCAAATAAACTATTTTTGTTGTTAATTTATTTTCATTGCCATATTATATCACACTGCAAAAGACAATTGTGAAAATTAACGTAAGATTTAAACAAAAAACGTAATGAAGGGAGTGTTCCTGTATCTCAGTGTTTGTATGTGGCTACAGTGAGTTTAGGTCTTTCAAATGTGGTGTTGCTCACACTTAACCTTTTCTCCTCTTTCTTCTCTTGGCTCCTACGATCTAATGAAATTGATTATACTACGAATAAGCTTTAAGCATGTGGATTATCCTTTCCACGGATGCTATCTGATGAGAGACATAACCAAATCATTTCAGAGACATACATTTTGGTCCTTAACCTCCATGCCCATTCCAGTCAGTGCTACAAGGAGGACGGTACCTCTAAGAACCCAGACTGCCCAGTGTGCAGTAAATCCCTCAACAAGTTAGCCCAGCCGCTACCCATGGCCCACTGCGCCAACTCCAGACTAGTCTGTAAGATCTCTGGGGAGGTTATGAATGAAAACAACCCTCCAATGATGCTTCCTAATGGATACGTCTACGGCTACAACGTGAGTACACAGCAATATTAACTCCAGCCAAGAGTACCAGACTATGAGCTAAAGCGATTTGTGAAAGCACTTTAATATGCAATATGGAAGCAAGAAAAACAATAATGTTTATTTTTCTAATTTATTTTCCTCTGCTTATTTTCTCTTCCAGTCTCTTCTGTCCATCCGCCAAGATGACAAAGTGGTGTGTCCTAGAACCAAAGAAGTCTTCAACTTCTCTCAGGCTGAGAAAGTCTACATCATGTGATCACTCAGATTAACCCGTCTGAGTATCAACATGATCAAATAAGGCCCGTCATTCATCACCTCTGACCTGGCCTACTGAGAGCCACCTGTGGAGCTGTGATCCAGTGCCCTTCTCCCCCCCCCCCCATTCATACACACCCGACTTTTTCCACAACAACCCCCCCAATACATGATCGGCTCAAGTTTTCCAGTTCCACCAACCCCCTCTGGTTTTATCACACAGACACTGGACTCCCCTCCTTTCAGACTCTGTTTTAGATGTGGCTAGATAATAAGAAGTTGTTTGGTCTGATCCATTCAAGCACATGGACTATCAGCGTTGTCATTATTTTAAAGGCCCTCACTCTGAACATTAGAGACTACAGAAATGGACTGAGGGGGTGAAACACTGCTAGGTAGATATTTGATTTTACTACATCAAATAAAAACTTGAGGTTATTTTGACTTTCTCCTTTCACTAGTGGTGTTCCTTTGTTATATAACATGTGACAGGACTGTGTTAACTCACTCTATTAACCAGATTAACACATTCGAGAGATTTGGGCATTTTTTCAAAAACAAACATGGCTGGCTTTCTGATCACGTGGTAGCATCTCATTCTGTGATGCATGCTGTTGACATCTTGTGTCTTCTAGCCATGTGTTTTGGGGGGGGGATATATGTTAAATGTCTCCTTTAACTGCCTATACTCTTTTGCATTTCACCCCCCCCCCTTGACTGTGAAACCGGAGCCTGATTTGGTGCCGCAGTAGGCTCCTTTTTCAAATGTAAATATTAGATGGGAATTGATCATCCTCATGTATAAAGTCAAGGGTTTGGGGACAAGTGATGACAAGGAAGATTAATCTTCTACCAAGATTGCTGTGTGGACTGAACAAGTCTTTCCTTGGCTGTTTTAACCTGCTATAGCCCACAGTATCCTCAAGTTAACTGGTTGTTCAGTACAACTTCTCATTTCTGAAGAAGAAGTTAGTGTGGTAATATTAATTATGGTGTATTTACTACCATAATGAAATTTACACAACATTCAGATGAGACAACCATCTCTTGATGTTTTGGTTTTTTTATTATTAAACAAATTGTCTTCCTTCTTTGTGCGTGAGATTTGCCATTTTCAGTTCTCTTCAACCAATTTCTCACTTTTTTCTTCTTCAGCTAAGAGTACATTTCAGTAAACTATATAATGGGTGATTTTAGTTTGTTTAGCATAGCCCAAATAGTTTTAGATTTCACCAACAGTGAACCAGACAATAAAAAGGACTGCTGATATTTTTTATAGTCATGTATGTAAAAGCTGCTTACAGCACTAACGCTGTAAACGTACACCAACTGCTTCAACATTACACATAGCTCCATGCACATGCCCACCTTGATTTGAAAAATGCATTAAAAGGCAGGATCAAAACCTAAACTAGGCTGTTGGTTGAACCGTCCTGCTTTTTCTTGCAAACTCAGAAGGAATAACTTTAGGTCACCTGAAAACAAGACTCATCCCCATCCTCTAGGACTTTGATAACCTACTGTAGATGATGGATGGACTGTGATCAGAACAAGATGGACACAAATCTGGAAAGTTGACTTCAGTGACAACTAATGCACAAATAAACCGTAAATTGTGACGATTTCAAGTTTTATGTTCTACATGATCTGGGAGTCTTTTCTTCCATTTGCTGTTTATTGACAAACCAAAAGTTGCCTCATTTGTGTCCATAAATGGTTTAGAGCTGTATCTGTAAAGACACAGATTGTCCTGTGTGTTTGTGTTGGTAGAATAGATAACAAGGGATTGTTTCATGAGCAATATGTCTCATAAAGATTTCAGTGTACTTTGATTTCAGTGTTTCTTTATTTGCAATGTCTACTTTGCTCTGTGGGCTCTAAAAGCAGCATTACCATAAGCTCTGGTAGGTGTGACTAGGTCAAGTCATTCATTTCAATTCTGTTGACATGGAAATGCAACCAAGTGTTGTGTCTTTCACCTGAAACTACATCTCCATGGTCTGAGGGGGGCAGCATTCAGTGTGGGCGTTTTTTGGTCTAGCAGTGAAAAACGTGCTTACAGATGGAAATGTACTGTACATGACTGATCTGTAACGTGGATTTCATGGAAATATGTGACTGAGATAAAAACTAGGCAAATTTGGCAGCACAGTTAGCCTTTTGGTCTCTTGTTCTTTCCAAAAGACAAAATCTATAAAACTAAATCTTAATTTTCTGATTAGAAAAAATCAGTTTTGCTCCAAAGACAATGAACGGGCCCCCAGCAAGACTGCTGTGTGTGCTCTTACATGAAAGTGGAGGTTTTTGGGGGGCTGCAAGCAGCTATTATTTTTATTTCTAATTATTCTGTAACCATTTGTTCAATTCAACGATTGATAACGTCTATAATAATGAAAAATACACATTACTAGTTTTATTAACCTATTATTGTCCTAATATTATTTTACCCAACAACACAAAACCCCCAAATATTTAACTTTAAAAAAGTAAATCCTCAGTTTTGAAAAGCTTGAACTAAGTTAGCCAAAAATGATTCAATGATTATCAACATTCAAAAAAATAATTGTCTATGGCTTTACTATTCAAATGTTTAAATGAATGAGAACATGCCTCATTTCAAACACTGGAGAAAATCATGCGTCATTTCTGCATGAAAGAAATGTTTAATGTCAGATGTTTTTGTTTCACCTTTCACTGACTGCCATAAACTTTGAATCTACTTCAATTGAAACCTTTAACCCAGTCCACTAATGGCCCCTATGGTCTTCCTGCACATAAACCATGCTGCTGCTGTGGCTGATAATTAAGATGCAGTTTATGTTTCCGTCAAAACTCACTTGATATTAACACCCAAGTCGCAATACCTTTTTTACAGTCCTTAGGCCCAACTTTTGAACTGTATTCACACAGTATGCCACATTTCATTTCTGGCTGAGAATGTGGTTTTGGTTAAAACCCGTGTATCCATTATGGCTCCATTCAGAAGCTTGTTAACTCGCTCTTATAACTTGTGAGCTACAATTCAGGACAAATCAGAATACAGTAACACGAGAGTGTAGAGTATCATGAAATCAGTACAAATGTAGCTTTTATTTGTCGCCATGTGTATAAATATAAGAACTGTATTTCATCGATGCCTTTTGATACCATGTGGCAACAAAATGGCCCTGCCGCGACGATACTGCGCGTCATCACTGAAAACCTTATTTTTTAAAAATATATAATTTCATAAGTATTTAGTAACGTAAACTGTGGTGTTTTAAATGTCGTGTAAAGGTTTTTAAGCATCGTTTTTAAGCAGAATATCTTTGGTCTTTTGTGCACAAGAGAGAAGCGGACCGGAAGAGGTGTTCCTGTTTCTGAAGCCCGTGTGTCGTCACAGGCCGTCGGGTATAAATACAGCTGCGTTCTTCCTCCTCCACCATCTTGAGATTTGCGCCCTGTTGAAGTCGTTTAACTCAGCTCGCCATTTTTTTCAAACATGTCTGACCAGCTTTGTAAACTTTTCGTCGGTGGGTTGAATGTGGACACCGACGACGATGGCCTGCGCAAGCATTTCGAGCAGTACGGTACGCTGACCGACTGCGTTGTCGTGGTGAACAAGCAGCTGCAGCGGTCCCGCTGCTTCGGCTTTGTAACCTACTCCACACCGGAGGAGGCCGACGCTGCAATGGCGGCTAGGCCTCACACCGTCGACGGCAACGCGGTCGAGGTGAAGCGGGCTGTGGCGAGAGAAGACGCCAACAAACCAGAGGCCCTCGCAAAGGTGAAGAAGATCTTCGTTGGAGGCCTGAAGGACGACATCGAAGAGGACCATCTCACCGATTACTTTTCCCAGTACGGTCAAATCGAGAAGGCCGAAGTCATCTCCGAGAAGGAGACCGGAAAGAAGAGGGGGTTCGGCTTTGTTTACTTCACCGATCACGACGCAGCCGACAAGGCGGTCGTGGTGAAGTTCCACACCGTCAATGGACACAAAGTGGAAGTGAAGAAAGCCCTGACCAAGCAGGAGATGCAGGCGGCCAACAGGAGCGGCATGCCGCCGAGAGGCAGACCAGGTAGAGGCATGAGGGGAAATCAAAATGGCTACGGCAGCAGGGACTACGGCGGAAACTACAACTACGGAAATGGCGGAGGCTACAACTGTGGCGGCTACGGAGGGTACGGCGGCGGTCCGTATGGGGGTGGCTATGGAGACCAGGGGAGCGGCTATGGCGGTGGAAACGGCTACAATGAGTTTGGCAGCGGCTACGGCCAGCACTCCTCCGGGTACGGCCCCATGAAAGGGCCTCCCTTCGGCGGACAGAGGAGCGCGGCGCCCTACACCAGAGGAGGAGGCGGCGGAGGCGGCGGATACCCGAGGGGGGGCTACGGCGGCGGCTACTAAATGAGACTGCACAATGGAGAATCGACCACCCCACCCCCCAGCCATAATTTACCTCCAGCCGGGATTTGGACGCTCAACTCAAATTCAGTAACGGGGCGTCTGCCGTGAAACCCAACTCCGGCAGAGATACGGACACAGAGATCCCCCTAATCATAATGAAGACCTCAAAAACCCAAACAGGTAGGAAGGTCACTTCCCAGAAAACCTGATAATAACGAGCAGCGGTTGTTGCCGTTCAACTAGGACACGCAAAAATGAAGAATAAAAACACAGTGATCCCTTTTTATTATGTATCCACGCCCACGGCGTGTAGTTGTCGTTTAGAGTATTTTTTTTATTTGCGTTCACTCGGTTCAATTTCGATGTAGGATTGTTTTGCTGACAAGTTCTGATTTATCTTAAATATTTTGCATTTTTAAGCAATTAGATTTTGTTTTCTGGAGTAAATTTAGTGTAATTTCAATGTATGAGGATGAGAAAGCATGTTTTGTGGTTTTGGATTTCATAGCTGTCTGATAACATCATCAATTTTGTATAATTATTTACTTGGCTCATTCAGCAAAGGCGGAACGTGATACTGCAGGATCCAGTTTCCTTGTTTCCTTCCCAACATTGTACTCAAACTCTCCTCACGCATAGTAATAGTTTCTAATTATTGTTCATTTTTCATTACCTGTAGCAATATCTAATGTATATTGTATACTTTTCATGTCTGGAGAACAAAACCTACTGTTAAAACACCTTGGTATGCTTATGTATGTTCATTTTAAATAAAACGTTATACCACTTAGCTTAGTTATTTTACTTATTTAACCAGGCTTCCTCAAGTTCATCCACAGGTTTTATAAGTGACACCATCTTGTCATCTTTAGTTACATGGCATCTTTCCCAGTTTATTCCCTTAAACTCAGGTGGGTGAAATTGTCACAGAATGATTGCAGTCTACCCACAGCCAATGCATGTAGGCTTTGTAGGGTTTGACCTTGTTTTTAAAATTATGTGCTTTTTTCTTTTTTAGAATATATATATTTTTTTGCTAATATATATATAACTTTCTATTCTACCTTTTACCTTTATTTTTTACATATTTGAATACATATCAATATGTGGACATGGGGGCTCTGATATTTATCTTTGATTATTCCTACATTTAGGTGTTCTCTTACTCGTATTCCAGTAGGCTATCCCAGCCAAAATAGCCTTAGCAGTTTGTTTTAGGCTACATCAGGACCCTGTTGATTACCTGGGGTCGATTGTGATAGGAGTCTGAAATATCTCTTTAGGATATCCACATCCAGCAAACTAGGTATGTAAATCAACCTGTCTTCACTATGTGTTGGTCAACCATGTATGGTATATCTTCATGAGATGGTGCACAAGTGTGCCATTATTTAATCTTAAACAACTTAACTGACACTTTAATCATAGCTCAATGCGTCTCTATATAGCTAATCTTAAAATACAAACAAAGGTGGTTTACTTAATTTGGCTTTACTTTAAGTGGGTGGAGGGGGCCCAAATTTTGTTCCACCATTTTAAAAAGTGAAATATTGGAACAAGTACATTGGTGTCTCATCCAGAAAACCTTGCTCTGCCCAGTTTCTCACTCTGTTTCTCTCCCATCTCCTCCAGGTTGCTACGGTAACCTGGGTAACATCACCCCGAACACGATGGGGTGTGTGTGTCTCCACGCCAACGGGGGGACCGGAGAGTGGTTGTGGCTTCTCCCCCTCAGGTGAAGTCACTTTTCACAAAGGATTCCCCAGTGTGGTCTAAATGCATTTTCAAGAGTCTTAACGTGGTTTTAATCTCTTTTGATGATTTTTATTATTTATTTGGTGGGTTTTTAAGTTCAGGAGTCTTTTGATAACACAGTGCCCCAGTGCAAACCCAAGTGCTCTTTACCCAGTGACCAGACTGGACCGGTGATATCGGACTGAACTAGGATAGTGGCTTCCAGTCTTTGCCCCGTGGCAGCTTAAAACGAAGCCGTGTCTGTGTCACCTCTCGTACAGGTTAGGGTCTTTGTGTCGACGTGAGTGATTGTTGGATTAATGAGACATGTGATTAAAAATCTATTTACATCATCTTGTGACCTCTCAGATTTATT